TTTTTTTTTTATAGATGTAAAGATTAGTTTATTCAGACCAGTTCTATCCACGTTACAGCTTCAGTGTAAGACTGGAAGTCAGGATAGTTTTGCAGTGATTTGTAAATAATGTACTAAATCTCCTTTAGAGTCTTTGACATTGAAATAATTTTTAGAGAAGACAGAGATGCTTCCTCACACCAAGCTGTGTCTTCCCAGTGCTGGGAATTTCTATTCTTTACCCCCCAAAATCCCCCCTGCAGCCTTTATTTAGTAAGTAAGGGGGTAAAATTTATTTATATAGCACTTTTTAAGACAAGAAGCTATTACAAAGTGCTTCACATGAGAATGTAAAATCATATCAAACAAACAATATAACAATATAAAGGAAGTATAAAAGCATATCAAATAAAACTACATATTACACACGAACATTACCCAAAATGCCTGTCTAATCAGATGTGTTTTAAGATTTTTTTTTAAAAAGAAGCCACAGAGTTGATGGTGCATAGCGGGGGAGGTAAACTGTTCCACAGTATTGGAGCTAGGGTTTGAAAAGCGTGATCCCCCTTTGTTTTCAAACGGGTCCGTGGAAAAGATAGAAGACCACTATTAGTGGATCAAAGAATCCACTTTGGAGACTAGTGTTGGAGAAGCTCAGTGATATAGGTGGGGGTCTCACCTCGTAAAGACATAAATCCAAAAGTGAGGATTTTAAACTTATATCTCTACCCAAGGTACAGATATAAGTAAGGATTTTAACATGGGAGTGATATGGGAGAATTTATTAATGTGGGTTAAAAGCCTTGCTGCAGCATTTTGGACCGCTTGGAGGTGATTTAAGGAAGCCTTAGACAGACAGGAAAAGAGTGTGTTACAATAGTCTAACCGGGGGGAGATGAAGGCGTGGACAAATATCTCCAGTTCAGTTTTGGAGACAATAGTCCTAAATTTGGCAATATTTCTTAAATAAAAGAAGCAGGAGCGGGTCACAGATTTAATATGAGAGTCAAAAGACAGAGATTGATCAAAGATTATCCCAAGATCAATCTCGAGCCGCTGCTCGAGTCCACTAAAATGGATCTCAAATAAAATTATAAAATCCAGAGTGACATTCCAGCACAAGCTTCACTTAGATTCACTTTTAAACATCTAAAAATAGCCGCTTGGCATCTTTCTTGGCCTTCAGACAACTGATGACAAATTCTGATGGCTAAAGATCCAAATGGGACAGGCAAAAAACAAAACAAAACAAAAAAACCCATCTGAAAATAGGAGACAATGAATAAAATGAATTAGATCCCAAAGAGTTGAATGTTTAATACTTGGTGATTTGGATTTTATTTAATCTATGGCAGTAGCTGCCTGCCTTTAAAAAATGTTACTGTCTCCTGTAGTGACTTTAACTCATCACAGGCAAAATTAAATCATGCTTTGTGACTTGTTTTATGTAACCAGTTCCAACTTGTGCAAACTAAGCCTGTTTTTGTGTGACTTGGGCCCCATCTACAAATTATGCCACCAAAAATGTTCACACTTCACTGTCATGCTGTCCTTCCACTGATACCTCCACTGGTGTAAATTCATTTTTCAGATGAGCAGCGTCAGTCAGAAAGGTGAAAATGAAACTGTTTTCATTCATCTCTGTGGATTTCTGAAATGTGCAAGTACGAGTTTGACTTGCCATTTTCCAGGCAGTCAGTCGTCATGGTTTAACAAGTAAATGAGACTCGTGTTAAGTAAATACAACCACGAAATATTTTTATATTTTTTAAAAATTACTTTCAAATTAGTTGTTTAAAATTGCAATTCTGACTAGACTTCACTAATATTGGACTTGATATATATTAAGTGCTCTAACAACCTTCTTTAATAACTAACTTCACAGTTCATTTGTCTTGTTGATCATCATTCACACTGACTGCTTCTTAGTGTATATTTTCAAACTCATTATAAACTGTTGACTGTTTTCTGTCTACTCTCCGAACTTGTGGTAAACTCACTGAGATTCATTCCTTATACTCTGAAGAAAGAAAAAAATGGCTTTTACAAACCTCTGGCAGTATTTTTGTACCTTCGCGTAACCAAAACATCTTTTTATGCAGGTGGTGTCTTAAAAGGCTCATTTTAATATATGCATGAAATGCAGAGAACCTTTTAAAGGTAGAAGGTCACTTCACACCTTGGCTCCCTTTTGAAACCTATTTATCTCTCTTTCCTCCTCTTTACTTTGAATTCTTCTCTGTGCTACTAGGTCTACATTTAGTTGAATAAAACTTTCAGGCAGCATCTCTTTAGCATCCTGGGGTTTAAAGTCCCTAAAGGAATGCATCACTTGACACGAGGAAGACTTAAAGTGTTAATTGCTTGGTGTTCAGTGGCCAGTAAAAAGACTTTATGAGTAATGAGATGTCAGGGACTTAACAAATGACAGCAGACATAGACTCTTTATTGCTCCGCCAGGTTATTTTTAGATACTTGAAGTGTAATATTAGAAATATTGCTATGCATTAAAAGTTTTTTGGCTTGGGTATGAAGCAGTTCTAAAGTTAATGGTTATTTAGTAAAAGGACATTATAAAACACTCTATGTAGCTGTGTTAGTAAATTGCTGAATGCTATTAATAATACTTAATAGTAACACAACCCATAAATATTGCATGCAATTTCCTTCTTGTTGTTTTTTTTCTTCACATTATTATAGTATGTTCTTTGGGACGCCAGTCAAAACCAATTACACTGCTAAAATAAAATAAAATAAAATAAAATAAAATAAAGGAACACTATAATCAGAGTATAGCATGAAGTCTGTTAAACTTATGGGTTGATCAGTTTCAGCTGTTTTAGTGTTTATGAATTGAACACAAGGACTAGAGTGGCAACAATGAGACAACCTCCAAAACACGAATGGTTTTACAGGTGGAGGCTGCTGACATTTTTTCCCCCTGCATCTTTTCTGTTTTGTCATTAGTTTTGCGTTTGGCTAGTGTCAGTGTGCCTAGTGGTAGCAAGAGCCGATACCTGAACCCTACAGAGGTTGCACAGGTAGTTCAAGTCCTCCAGGATGGCACATCAGTTTCTGTAGGAAAGCTGCACGGGACAGTGGAAGGTCCTTAACCAATCAAGAGGACTGGTACCTGCTTTTTTGTGCAAGGAGGAACAGGATGAGTCCTGCCAGAGTTCTACAGAATGGCTTCCAGCAGGCCACAGATTTGAATGTCTCAGACAAAGCAATCAGAAACAGACTTCATAACGATGGCCTGAGGATCCAACAACCTCTCGTGGGCCTTGTAGGGACCGTGGAGCCCAATTGGCCCTAGAATACCAGACTTGGCAGGTCCTCCACTGGAACTATATGCTTTTCACAGATGACATGATGACAGCAGGTTCACCCTGAGCACATGTGGCAGACATGAAAGTGTCTGAAAGACGATGTGGAGATGTCTGCAACATCATTTAACATGACCTTTTTGGTAGTGGGTCAGTGATGGTGTGGGTAGGCATGTCCGTGGAAATTATGACTTCCACAGGCAATGGCACCCCAACTGCCATTAGGTTGGGGAAATCCTTGGGCTGACTCATTGTCAGACCCTACACTAGTGCAGTGGGTCCTGGGTTCCTCCTGGTGAGTGACAATACCTGGCAACATGTGACGAGATTATGCAGGCAGTTCCTGGTGGATGAAGGAACTGATACCACTTGGCCCCAATGCTCACCTGACCTAAGTCTAATAGAAGCACATTATGTTTCAGTCCATCCAACACTTTCTAAGTGTTTCTTTATTTCATTTCATTTTATTTTTTGAGCTGTGTAAATACATAAATAAAAACCATACAATCCTTAAAGAGAACAGATATGGTGACAGCAGGGGTTTAAAGATGAACATTGGCATTGCACTGTATTTTGAATAAATTAAGATGCCATGCATCACATTACATACTGTAAGT